TTAATTTCCACCCCCAATGCTCGTCACTTGGTATTACACACCTAGCCTATGCGGATGATCTAATGCTCTTCTCGAGAGGTGACATATATTCTATACGAATATTAGTCAATGCTCTAAAAGAGTTTGGGGATGTTTCTGGGCTAAGAGTAAACCATGACAAATCCAACATCTTTGTTGGTGGGGTGAGGGACCTAGAATTGCAAAATATCCTAGACCTTGTAGACTATGGGCAAGGTACTTTCCCGGTTCGATACCTCGGAATCCCCCTTGCCCCCTTAAAAGTCTCAGTTGCACAATACGCACCATTGATTTCCATAATTCAAGACTTCCTTAACACTTGGAATACAAAGACATTATCCTATGCTGGGAAGATTGAGCTAATTCGATCGGTGATCCAAGGGGTCCAATCGTTTTGGCTCCAAGTCTTTCCGGTTCCCCAAACGATCTTGGATAGGATTGTGTCTATCTGTAGGATTTTTTTGTGGGGTGGGAAATTCGCGAAAGTTGCGTGGGATGATATTTGCCTACCAAAAGCGGAAGGAGGGCTAGGGATCCATAATGCTAAAATCTGGAATCACGCCCTCCTCTCACGTGTTATTTGGGACGTGCATAATAAAAAAGATACCTTATGGGTAAAGTGGGTTAACGGTGTCTATCTTAATGGTAGGAGTGTGTGGGATTTTATCCCACACAACCGAGACTCTCAGCTCATGAAGCGGATGGGTCTCATTCGGGACAAATTGAGAGGGTGTTTTAATAATCTGAATGATACCATATTGGGCCTCAATTCAAGGGCCATAAATGGAAAATTAATCTCAGGCAAGGTGTATGATCTACTAAGGGTTAAGGGAGAGACTAGGACTACGATGAGCTTCATTTGGAAATCCTATATCCCCCCGAAATTTTCATTCATTGTATGGTTGGCCCTACGAAACCGGCTTCCTACTCAGGATAGCCTCAGTTATTTGCATATTGTGAATAGATGTGACTTATGCAAGGGTGGTTTGGAAACAATACCACACCTTTTCTTCCAATGCCCTTTTACATGTAGGGTATGGCAACGAATTAGGGAATGGATGGGACTTAGCCACCAAATGACCACGCTAGCTAGCTCGGTCAAATGGGTGCTAAAGACGCACAAAGGCGCGAAGTTGAAGGGCAAAGCGGTGAGATTGGCATTCTGTGCTTCGGTATACTACATTTGGAGAGCAAGGAACGAGGTTAGGTTTGATGAAGTGACGAAGAATGAGGAAGACATTGTTGCTAAGATCAAGATTGTGGTTTACAAGATACTCTTTAGTATCTATCCACAAGAGTTGATCAAGTTCTGAGGAAAAGGCCGCGACATGGATATTATGGATGCCGCGGTATGGATAGATTGCTACATGACTGTTTGATGCCCCGAGGAATGGATATCTTGGATGCCGCGGCTTGGACACTCAGGACACCGTGGCATGGACATCATGGATGCCTCGGCATGGAGCATGGTCTTGGATTTTAGGGTGTGTACATCGTGCAACACCTTTGTACTTTGTTTGATTTTTAGCCTCTGATCTGTGTGCGTGCATATGCAGCATCGATGTATTTTTGAACCTTTTGATGGGTCAGGTTTTATACCTGGTCATTTGGCATAGAATAGATCGAATAAAAACCTACTTTCACTCTCACAATATGTGGGAGTGGGGGAGGTTTTAGGAGATCTAGGATATGTGATGTATAGTTTTTCTGGGTGTTAATATATATTTACATTTCATCCAAAAAAAAAAAAAGCAATGTCATCAACCAAAAAAATGGTGTAGAACAAGTCTTTCCAAATCAATTGCAGAAACTCCATCACCCTATTGGCTCCGATGACTTGAGACAACACTAGAAAAGAAACATTTATTCATTTACTTAATGAAATTTAACTTTCATTTTATCATTATTTATTCAATTTCTCCTATTTATGTAGTTTTCCCATATTTATATCTAGGGGTGGACCGGGCCCGGCCGGACTTGAATTGTTATGGGTAAAACCCGGAACCGACCCAGGAGTCTACCGGTTCCGGGCCGGACCGGTTCTGGTTCATATTTTTGTGCTTGCTTATTTATTTCAACCCCCAAAGTCCCAAACCCCTCGCAAACACCTAGCTCAGCCCAAGTAAACAAAGCCCAAACCCAAAAAAAAAAAGGCCTTAACTGGGCCTAGCCGGGCTGGTTCGCTTTTTTCATGACCCGGAACCGGTTACCCCCTGGGCCGGGCCTAAGCCCGAAACCGGAACTGGTTTCCCGGTCCGGGCCGGTTACGCAGAGTAGCAGGCCGGGCCGTTTCCGGGCCGGGCAGCCCGAACCGAGTCCATCCCTATTGATATCTTTCTCACTTTATTATTTGATCCATTCCCATATTTGAATATTTCCCACTTTTTTTGAGCCTTTCCTACATTTTCTCTTTTCTTATTATTACACAATTTAGCGCGCGAAATAAAAAAATACGTGTTTGATGAAAAAAATGCGAACGAGATTTATCATTGCGAACGAGTCTTTTCTTCTTATTCATTTCTCTTCTTCAATGATCACTTTTTTCCTTAACCATTAAATTCTTAATTTATGCCTAAAATTTAGTCATTCTTATTCTGAAAAATTTAAAAGGAATGACAATTTGATTAAAATCATCTTCATATCTTTCTTTTATTTTTAATACTCACCTTTATATTATCCCCATAAAATGAATTAATGCCTGCTAACTGTTCAAAAAAATTGTTAACCCCCGTCTCAGACAAAGGTTTTGTCCACTATTTTTCTGGTTAACGTAATTTTTTTTAATCTTACTTTATATATTCAACTTTATTCGAATTTGAGTTTTTCTTTTGGACTATTGAAAAAATAAAATGTAGTTTTTGAATATGTAAATTTTATTTCCTAAAACAAATCTTATTACATACATAAATTGATTAACTTTATAACTAGTCAAGTATCGTAAATCCCGTGAGAACTTTTGCCCGGAGCGGAGGGAGTACAAAGTAATCTGTCATGCATTCATTTTTGAGTGATCTGTTATTGCTTATTGCGCTTGAATAAAGTATTGATTATGCATAATTTCTAATATTATAAAGTAATATTCTACTTCTACATGTTTAAATTATTTTTTGTTAATATTTGAGTCTCATCTTTAAACCATTAGCGACTTTGACTTTGTAGTTGATATTTATTGGGTTCAAATATTACTCCACTTTATATGATAATTTTAGTTGTTACTCATTAAATTTAAAATGAGAATTTAAGTAGTTCTGCAATGTGATATCGTGTTAAGATTGTTTGAGTTGTAGAGTTTTTTTGCACAAAATTGTTACTCCGTAATTGGTTACAAAAAGAATTTAGAAAAGAATTCTTTGGACAAACATCCCAAGTTTACTGCACAGAATTTAGAAAAGAGATTCTCATCTTGCCTTGTATTGATTCTCAATTTCTGGAACAATTAAGTTGAAAAACCTTCGGTGAAGTTCACTGAAGAAGTGAAAGAGATATGGGATGCAGTGTCTAATTTTCTCTATTGTGCTCTTTCATTATTGTACTGTTGAAGATATGGATATACAAGCGAATATTACTGACGATTTAGTGAATGAATCTAATTTCTCTTATTAAGTTGGGTTGTAATGAATATATTTTATGTGTAGGTTATTGCAATGGTTTTAGGCTGCATTTAAATCAGTATACTGTTTAAAATAATTAAACATTGAGTGACATTATCAAAATTTTACAACAAAGACCCTAAATTAGCATACTTTAATGAATGTATCTAAATAAATAATTGAAGTGATTTGTAATGGGTATATTATATTCGTAACACATTTTATAGAAATTAGTTTTATTTTACATTTAAATGAATATGTTATTTAAAAGAAATGTATGTATTGATTATAATTGAACATAACAAAAGTTGCATATAGGTTTATGGTAATTGCGATTATATCGATTAAAAGAAATGTACATTGGTGTCACATTATAAAATGATGACAATAAAGTTGATATGATTGTAAATTATTCTCGATAAAATTATTATTTTCACAATATATAAACTATTTATAATTGGGTAAATAAATTTAATAATATTAAGCGAGTTGTAAGGAATATATATTACACGTAAAAGTTACCAAAGTGAGTTTAATGTTATACCCAAATGAGTTAATGTTAAGAAACAATATACATTGATATAATATTATACAATAAGCACAATAGAGGCACTGAATGAAAATAGGGGTTTTTATTTGAATATTACTAATTTTAAACCAATTATAAAAAAAGTGACCACTTTTTAAAAGGGGCAAAAAAGTGATTAAGAAGGTCATATTAATGTCATTCCCAGATTTTAATGTCACTATCCTATTTTAATGTCACTATGAAATGTCACTGCCGTCGCCGCCCGTGTCACTGCCGCTACCGCCCGTGTCACTGGAGCCACCGCTCGTGTCACTGCGGCTACCGCCCGTGTCACTCCGGCCACCACCCGTGTCACTACAACCACCGCCCATGTCACCGCGTCCACCACCCGTGTCACTATTGCCGCCATCACCATGTCACTTAGGTCACCACCGCTCGTGTCACTGCTACCGATAGCCACCGGTCACCGCCGCCAAACGCCACCAGTCACCGCCGCCGACCGCCGGCCACCGGTCACCGCTGCCGACCACAGTGACACCTCCATAGTGACACCACTATAGTGGCACCACCACAGTGACAACACCATAGACCACTGTGACACCACCACAGTGCCGACGTCACCTCCCAATTACCCAATTACCGCCGCCGCACCGCCCAATTACCACCCGTCGGCCGCCACCTCCGGTGGCCACCAACTCCGGTGGCCACCAACTCCGGCCAACGACTGCAACCACCATTCCCAAGCCCCTGCTTCACCCATCCCCCTCCCCTACATCACCCCAGCCCCTCTGCCTCTCCCACCCCCACCCCCACCCCTCCGTCACCTCAGGCCCTGGCTCACCCATCCCCTGTGTCACCCCAGCCCCCTTTCCACAGCCCCCAGATCCATACTCTTCTCTAGCAGGCCAGCCACCTCCATAGCCGCCCATCACATACTCGCCCAGATCTGAAACCAGGCTACAGCCAAGCAACGGAGAAAGAGGAGGTCCGTTGGTTCAGGCCTCTCTCCGACTTCGAGGACGGTGGATCCGGAAGATCCGAACCGTCGCCCACCGACGATCGCAGATCCAGAACCGGCTGGCTGCAATAGAAGAGATGAAGAAAGGAAGAACTGAAACTCAAATGCAGAGGAAGAAGGATGATGTTTCATAGGCGAGGTAGAGGTCAACCGCCATGGTTTCGTTGTCACCGTGGTTTCGCTGCCGCGATCGTTGGTGATGGCGGTGACTGGTGCGAGAAGGTAAGCAAGCCAGAGTTAAGATGGAGAAATGTCTGATGCGAATTAAACAAGCGTTTTTGGGTTAGGTCAGTTTTTTGTGAAATTTTAAAATAGTCATATTTTTTTCTATTGAAACCATGTAGGTCATATTTGTGCCATTGTTTCATGAAAATACACAACTTAAGAAATGTGCATTGATTAGATATTTTAAAATGAGCATAATACAAGTATCAAATAAGCATACAATACATACCCCGGTATGAAATAAGCATATAAAAAATGAGGAGGGACAATTAGATCTGACGTCTCTGCCTTCTTTAGCAGCAATGCAGGGAGCCCGACCTTTTGGAATCGTTCGGTAAAACATAAACAATCAGAGATTTCAAGTCCACTTTTTTCTCTTATATCAACACATCTTCTTTACCATCTAATTGTCGATTGTAGTAAGATACTCCGTCATACGATACGATAGAGAATCTGAATCTAAAATTTAAGGGACTAATGCGGAAAAATCTAAAATCAAGAACTAAAATATATATCACTCACAAAAATGGACCAATTTGTGATTGAAGTTGTTTTTTTACCAATATATCATGGAAGCCTCTTTTTTATTAATATATGTCACTCATTGGTAATTTTATTTACCAATTTTGTAATTTGGCCCAACTATTTACATTGATCTCCTGAAATATTTACAGGTGTCAATTACTCTACAAGCCATGCAGTAATTATTTTTATTGAAGTGCCCTTGCAAAATTAAACTGATTCATAAATAGGGGGTAATAAAGTCATTTCAACATGCGGGAGTACCGAAAGCAATACCGTCGGCGTCCATGTCAATATCCTGAACCTGACCCACTTCACAAGCACACTCTATTAATCTTCTCATCACTAAAATAATTTCTTCCTCCCCTCTCTTTCGCCGGTGTTTTCCTGCTCCATTCTCCGAACCTTCTCTCCGGCGACTCTTTTTGACTTATTCCGCCATGTACTGTTCTTCCCATTTCTCGTTTCTCCCGAATAAGAACTTTCCGAATTGCTGTTTTCAGTAGAGGATTTCAATTCCAAAGTAGACTCTCTGTATTCCGCCAATTTCAATGAACCCGAATCTGCCACAAGCGCCGGCGGCGGACCGCAACCGCCAGCGGCGGAAACCGGACCTGACCCTCCCTCTGCCGCCGCAGCGTGACCCGAGATTAGCCGTCCCTCTTCCACTACCGCCCACTTCCGCCCCTTCTTCAACCCAATCCCGCTCTTCTCTCCCGACCACGCCGCTCAAATTCTCCGAGCTGGAGCGCATAACCCGCGTCGGGAGTGGGATCGGCGGTACGGTCTATAAGGTGCTCCACCGGCCGAGCGGCCGGCTGTACGCGCTGAAGGTCATCCACGGCCACCACGAGGACGGCGTCCGCCTCCAGATGTGCCGGGAGATTGAGATCCTCCGGGACGTCAACGACCCCAACATCGTTAAATGTCACGATATGTCCGATCACAACGGCGAAATCCAAGTCCTCCTCGAGTTCATGGACAAGGGATCTCTGGAAGGGACCCACATCCCCAGCGAGCCCTTGCTCGCCCACCTCACCCGTCAGATTCTCTCCGGCCTCGAGTACCTCCACCGCCGGAAAATCGTTCACCGGGACATTAAGCCCTCAAATCTGCTCACCAATTCCCAGAGCGTCGTGAAGATTGCCGACTTCGGGGTCTCGAGAATCCTAGCGGCGACCATGGATTGCAACTCCTCCGTCGGCACCATTGCCTACATGAGCCCGGAGAGGATCAACTCCGATCTGAATCACGGCCAGTACAATGGGTTCGCCGGAGATATATGGAGCTTGGGCGTGAGCATCCTGGAATTTTACCTGGGCAGGTTTCCGTTCAACGGCGGGAGGCAGGGGGACTGGGCAACCCTCATGTGCGCCATTTGTATGTCTGACCCGCCGGAGGCGCCGCCCACGGCGTCTACTGAGTTCAGAAACTTCATCGCTTGTTGTTTGCAGAGGGACCCTTCACGACGGTGGACGGCGGCGAATCTGTTACGCCACCCTTTCATTTCGCAGCACTGCTCCCGGACGGCGAGCAACAATCTTGGCATTCCCAGCCAGGTTCATCAGACACACCAATTGCTACCTCCCCGTCCGCATTTCTCTTCCTGATTTCCAAATTTTCCACTTTTGGCTTTTCAATCTTTCTTGGTCTATTTCTGTACTATATTTTTTTAAAATGGAAATTTGTGATCATTTCCATGTAACGTATTGCAATGGTTAGATGATCGGTTGTATGGAAACAAAAAGATGAAGAATTGGGTATTCACAGGATTATGTTTAGATTGAAATTCCATACTTCCCTAATCCATATTCCCAATAAATCAATAACTCCCCATTTTACTTTGTTGTCAAGAATCACAAGAAAGAAATGAAAATGGGAAATCTCTGTTTTAAGCTTACCGCAATCAGCTTTAGTGTAAACCTTTGTCTTAAAAATTGAATCTTTACCATTCCTGAACTCATTTTTGCTTTGCTTTTAGCTTGCTAAGGTTGCTGTCACTGTATCTTATCTAAGTAAAAAAGAAAGAGTGGAATTTTGCACAGTTCCATTCTCATTTCTTCCAATAAGCTGTTTTTGCATCTATTGTTGGATTATTTGGATATTTAGCAATGTTTTCTCACATGGGGTGTGCCCAGCTCAGGTTTTGTGGGGGCTATGGTTTTCATAGCCTTGTAAAACATTATCAAGGGGTAAAAGTTTCTACATGTGATAGATTTGGTTGTGTTTATCCGAAGATCTTGTATGGGTAATATGGGGAAGGTTTTTTTACGTCTCCCAAAGGAAAAGGAACTATATAGCAATAGTAGTGCTCGTAATAGTTAGTAGAAAAAGGAGAGACATGCCAAATACTGAAAAAGTGAAACTAATAAGTAAACCATGTGTAAAGATGGACTTTCATTGAGGTATGTTTTCAACTTTTTCTACTTTCCCATCAAGGTCAATCATTGGTTGTTGTTATAGCCCCACACACCACAACACGAGTAAGGCTAAGGACATGGGAATATTAAATGTGAATGCTATGAACTTAGTTTTTTTCCCACACTTCTTACAATAGAGTATGGTGTTACACTTCTATTTTTTCGAAAGTTGAATTTGGCATTCATTATTTATCCTTGCTGCCTATAATTTCTTGCCCATTGTCTACCGATTAGATCACGGACTAAATTATTGCACAGTGGTTTTGCTGGTTCTTAGAAACTCGATCACTTCTAGTTTTGGTTGTTGAAATAGTAAATCACCAATCATTTGAACAATCAAATAACACCCATTGATTGAGAACGGTTCAACACTTGTGTTAGGAATAAAAGATGACACCTAATTCTTGAGAATCGGAGTGATGTTCCGATTCAGGTACTTGTAGAAGTTCTACACATTTTTACATAGTAATCACTCATTAAAGTTGCCGTAATTCGAATCCGAGACTTACTCCTTATGTCATTCCTATCTACCAATTGAGCTATGCCCGCGTCACTCAACACTTGTGTTAGGGAACTAAGCCTTTGCATAAAATAATCCTTCAATGAGTGTCCCTCTTTTTTGCCTATGGGTAATTATGATTGCATTATGTACACCTGAAATCGCATTGCGGATTGCGGAGTAAGGTTTTGTTTGCAACCACTTGCGCTTAAATAAAAGCACTATTTGAGAAAAAGTGATTAGTAATAAAAGTTGGTAGTGTTTGGTATAATAAGTGCTTTTTGTGTAATAGAAAAAGTAAAAAGTAGATTCTACACGAAAACTGAGAAAGTAAAAGTTGATAGTGTTTAGTAAAATAAGTGTTTTTTTCTTAAAAAAAGTCAAAATCACTTTTCTTAAGTGATTGCAAACAAGCTCCAAGAGAATCTGGCTTATTGTCTAATTGGATAATTATTGGGTAGATTAAAAGGTGCATGTCCTTTTCATGGGAAGGAAAAAACTATTACTAATAATCAAAATTGGTACTTGGTGGTAGTGTATGTGTACCCATCCCTACTCACATGATTATGCTGCAAACGTTGTACATTTAAATTCACTGTTTAGGCCCAACAAACTTATTCATAATTACACTATAAGACCATTTGTAGTGGTTGAAGATTAGGAGTCAAAAGATTAAAAATGGAACTTTTAGACTCTTAATTGGATGTAGTGGTGGATTAAAAGTGGGAGTAAAAGTGGGAAGGGGAGTGGAGGAGTCTAAAAGTAGAAGGTTGGATTGACAGGGAAAAAGGAAGAAGAAGAAGAAGTGGCTGCTTGGGTTGTTCATGTATTGTGCTGATGTCACGATGATGTCATTAAATCCCCAATTAATTTTAAACTCTTATAACTTTTTTATTTGTTCTCCAAATTTTTCACAAAATATATCAAAATTCATGAATTTTTATGATCTTTCATATGACACCAATATGTAATAATATAAAATGAATTTTGTTTTTGAAGTATTAACTGTTCAAGTTTTCTTGAACTCAAACAAATACGAAATACATTTTTTTAATTCATTGAGCTTTCACAAATACTAACTGAATATTCCATAATCAAATTTTATTTGAACTAAGTTCATTTTTTGTTAACCAAAAGCCGTTTAAAAAAATAGTGATTTTTCTTTTTTTTTTACTTTGAAATGTGTATTTTTTATTTCATTAGTATCCAGGGAAAAATTCAAAACGAAAATATTAATCATAATAATTTAATTAATATTTTACTAAATTGATATGTAAAAAATAAGCAGAGTGTACTTTATTGACGGTGCACGGATGCGGGGAAAACCGGTATTGACGGAGTCTAAACACTGTTTTTATATGGACGGAGTCCAAATTAAACAATTTGGACTCTTGACCACTACAAATGTTTTTATATTCAAACACTGTGTTTGAATATCCAATTTACCATTGCGTAGATCTTATTAGTATTTGTGTTCAATTTTACTCTTGTATTCAAAATTTATTTTGTTTATACTCATTAAAACATTTATTTCTAGTAATTTTACATTTTTGACTCTTTGTATTGTCAAACAAGTCTAATTCATTCAGCTAGTATTTCAGTTTCAATACAATGCATATTCTATTAACTCCCTCCGATTCAAAAACAAGTTCCACCTTTCTTTTTTGGGCAGTTCCAAAATTAAGTTCCACTTTCAATCCTTTACTTATTTGGCAAATTATCTACATCAAAACAGCTCCAAACAGTGTCAAACAGTGTCAAACAGTGCACTTCAGAATAAAGTCAAATTGAAACTTGTGTTTTAATCGGAGAGAGTATTTATTTTGTTTTTGCTTATCCACCTTATCAAACACGACTTCACGTTAGACACTTGGATAGAGATTTTAACTGATTTGAAAGTACTGTTTGTTAACGGAGACAGGCAACGTATAAGTAGGGCTGGACTCGGGCCGGTTCGGGCCCGGCCGGGCCTCGGGCCAGGAAAGGGGAGGCCCGAGCCCGAACTGCCGGTGGCCGGTTCCGGTTCCGGTTCCGGGCCAAACCGGGCCGGGCCAATTTTTTTTTTTGTTCTCCTATTTAATCCCCTACCCCTCCCCCTCAACCCCAACCATCCCAAACCACCTCAAATGGCCCAAAATACCTAATCCAACCTAAAACTTAAAAAAATTTCAAAAAAAAAATAATTAAAATCCGGCCCGGACCGGGCCCGAACCGGCCGGGCCGGTTCACCAAAACCTGGGCCCGAGCCCGGACCGCCCAGCACCCGGGACGGGCCAAACCGAACCGGTGGACCCACCGGGCCACGGGCCGGGCCGGGCCGGGCCAAACAGTGACCGGGCCGGTTCGGTCCCGGGTCGGGCCGCCCGGCCCGAGTCCAGCCCTACGTATAAGGCAGGGTAAGTTGCATAACGGTATTTTGAACTATAGATGTATATTACTACTAGCATGGGTACGCGCTTTGCGCGAAGATTAATGCCCAATGGGAAAATCATGACCAATTTGAAAGGTGAAAAACTAAACAACAATATGAACATAACTAAAACGAAACAGGACAAGAGAAGGAACAAAAATAATAACTACAATAATACATACGGAGTATTTGGAAGAGGCCCCTGCCAATTCTTTGAGTACTCCAAATACTCAGAATACAACGAACTAAATAAGGGAACAATTCCAAGGAATAACATGGAATAATTAGTCACAACAATGTCATCACCTATATCAATACCTATGTTTTCAAACTACTCACTCTTCCATGAATAACATGGAATAATTAGTCACTTATTGCACCATGTGTAAAAGAGGTTTGGACAAGTAAAGCACAATACTCACCAGACATGACATACTCAGGAGCTGCATAATTCTAATTACCCATAACTCGAATTGATACATGAGTTTTATCTCCCATGAACCCATCTTTTGCAAGTTTGAATTCAGAAAAATTCGCATTGAATTCTTGTGATTTCAAATTTGAACTATAACGGGTCACCGACAATTCTTAAGGGTTCATTTAGAGTTTGGAAAACAATCAAATACTACTGATAGAAAAAAGGATGAAAACGTATAACTCAATAATAATGTTATTATACACATTTGCTCAAACATATTTCATTTACATATTTCCATTCCATAGAAAAGGAAAATAAGTCTTTAACCATATTTCATTTTAAACCACATTTTCTAAGGTAAAGACGAATATAAGAAAGTCACTTCGCTTAAAATATACTTCGTAGTTTCCTATTCCTGTAGCAGTATAGCATTTTAGACCAAATATACCCTAAGGTACTTGTTCAACATCTAAAACAATTGTTTTTCCCTTCTGGTCTCCTCGGTTAATGAAATCATACAAGACCAATCAAAACTCAAAAGAATAATTACTTTATTTCTGTAAAGTACAATCTTTCAACTATAAATTTTATTATGAAGATACCCATAATAAGACCGGAAAGCTAAAGAAACAACATTACAACAAGAAGGATTACATACTGACCTTATCCAATAGAATGTTTGATGTTTTAAAATCCCTATAGATGATAGGCATATCTGCTCCATGAAGAAAAGCAAGCCCTCTGGCAACATCCAAAGCAATCCTCATTCTCCTCGACCATGTTAGTGTAGCTAACACTCCCGAGAGCAGAAAATTCACAAGAATGATCATTAATAGCACAAGCAGCTCTCCATTCCCATACATAACAAACAGAGAGGTGTAGAATGATAATCTTCATTAAGAACTCCATGAGTTAAGGGTGCACTCAAAAACCTGAAAATAATAGGGGAAAGGAAAAATATTTCAAATGAAATCCAATTTCCTGTGTTTGGTTTTCCCTATTAAGCAGCTGCTGGTCTAGAATTAAATAGGGGAGGGGGACTTTCTGTAACAATCTGTAACATGTATAAGGGAACAAAATGAAACAGCCCTTAAATGGTCAGAATGATTGAAAGTGTCAGAAAACAATCTGTGAATGTGGACCAACCCTGAGGAAAATAAAGTGTGATAACTAACAATAGCTTATTTGCAGCAGAACCATAGGTAAGAACATTTATGCTGAGATTAACCATATACTTCAAGGATAAATGTTAAACACTCACCGGCGAGTATGATGAACACCAGTAGCGGAACCAGCTCGGGTGTGTTGGAGGCGCACATTAGACACTGACACATAAATCATACTAAGCATATATCATTAATGTAACAATAAATGAAACAATAAAGTTCAAATAAAACAACTAATTAAAGAATACCTTAATTTTGATTAGCAACTGAAGCGTCAAATGAAGGAGAATAGTTGAGAGGTGGCAATCTTTGTCTGAAGCACCGTACTCTCAAATTGATTATTAAAACTAACCTAAATCAACAATAAAAACATATCACTCAAAATATGCTTATGATTTTTCTAGTAAATAAGCTCTAATACAAAGAAACAAGCTACAGGCCAAACAAACCCAAAAGATAAGCTACGAAATACCAACAAATGTTTTCAACCAAACTTATATTCCAGGAAGGAAGAACTTACGGTGTTAGTTTGTTGTTGTTAACATTAAGAATTGTTTCAGCTAAATCGATACCAAGGAGCACTTCTAAGTAGCCTCCAAGTGAAATAAAACAAAGATGCCCAAATCAATAAAGTTCTAACCAGGCCATAGATTAGAGTGCTAAATTCTAGCATGTACCCCTGCCAGCCAGCCATCTTAGAAGACATTGTGAGTTCCTCGCCTATGGAGGATAGCATACTACTCAGACAATAACATAATTAGTCAGCAATCTAGAGTATCGTGTTGCTAAACCACATGTGTAACACATTTCCAAATAACATGAATTACTAAATGGAAATAGCTGATTAAAATGAATATGCAGATTAGCAGATATCTTTTATCTGGCTGATTGGAAAACTCTGAATAGGTTCAATTCAAAAGTCCATAACACATCCATCTAAAACATTTTCCCAATCATAAAATAAAAATTGAATTTAATCTAGCCTATCCATATAATCACATAATCTTTATTCATATCACACACACAACCAAATCTGAATTTCTATCAATAAAGATTTTTAAATGAGCAATGGAAACAAAAAGAGAAATCCAAAGTTTAATCATAGATTAATGAAATTGAGAATATAAATTAATATAATTAATTATTAAAAACATACCTGACCATACCTGGGCTTCTCATTATAATACTACAAAAGGTAACAATCACATATATAACATAAAATTGAAACCTTCAAGGGTTAAGAAACAACAACTGTCACAAATCTCGTTATACAGAATATCCAGCAGACCGTCTTCTCACAACCTCAAACGCTTGGATTGGATCATAATTTTTATGAAATAGAAATTGATTTGGAAGTTGGAGGTGTCTGACCATCCCTCTCCTCTAACCGAACCAGAAAGTGAAGCACCGAAGCTGGATGGGCGACGAGCTGTGGTAGTTTCGGATGAGCAACAGGGGTTCTGGATGAGCGGCGATATTTCCCGATGAATGGAGTCTGATGTCGATTCCGGGTAAACGGAGACCGTCTGATAGTAGCAAGAGACGATCGGCTGAACTGATGCAGCGATAGGCTCGGGGAGCTTCATCCAGATCCGTGGGGTGGAGGAGGTGAGCTGCAAAGGCTGAGAGCCTTGGGGAGAGTGAAATGAGAAATGAAATTGGAGAGACGGATTTACATCACGCAAAACCAAAGGGGAGATATTTCAGTTGGTGCGCAGCAACTAAGGCAAATATCACACGGCCGTTAACAGAGGGAAAAGAACGCTCGACTGTAGCAACGGCATAGCACGAGGACTAACATCCTTCCACGCTTTAGAAGAATAGGAGATATTGTTAGACAAATTTTCATAATGCAACTTTTAAGATTGGTTTGTGACTTAGAGAAATCAAATTAGACCATGACACTAGATTTTGAGTAAAAGTATGTAATTTTTAGTCTTAATTAGTCACAACAACTTGTTATACTAAACTTCTCATCAAACAATTACAATCTTTTTCCTTCACATTTTTCAGTCACTAAAACTAATACTAAGTACTTATTAAAAAAACTTACAAAAATGATGTTTCAACTAATTGTCCCAAACATATGCTAGAAATACTAAATCAGATTTAAATAAATTGCATTCCACATATGTAAAAAACTAAAAACACCTGAATATTAGACATTATTACTATCCTATGTGCATTTATGGGCTTAAACGATAATATTATTTAAAATACCATCGTAAATAATATGACTTGGTAGTCTCAGTTCCACGCACACATTTATGGGCCAGAAATGAAGTTCCAGTTTGAGGTTGATAACACGGATCACGTGAATCCATTAATTTTACATTCATATTTGGAGCCCGTTTGGTAGCACGAAAATCGGCTGTTTTGGCTGATTCTGCTGAAATTTATGAAGTTTTGGCTGAAGTGGCTGCATTGGCTGATTCTGCTGAATTAAGAAAAAATTATTTTTAAAATATATTTTATTAGTAAAATGAAGAAAAAATTATATGTAAAAATAGCTAAAATGATCACCTATAGTAACTTCAGCCAATAAAGCCAGAAAAGTAACAACAACCTTACTTTTTCAGCTTATTACACAATTCAGCGCGCGAAAATGAAAATTACATGTTTGGTAAAAAAGTTGGCTGATAATCCTGATAAGCTGAAAAATAGTGGTTCCAAACGGCCTCTTGAAGAATGTACGTGAAATGCAAACGAGGATTATGATCGTCAAATCAGATGACTTTTGTCAAAAGTTTTATATATTCCATGATTGTCTATATGACATTACTAATTAATTCACTACGGAGTATATGTTTAAATGATTTATTCGATTCATTAAATAGGTTTTGTAAAAGATTTATTGATTAAAATAGAGCAAAAATAATAAAGAATAATACGAGTATATGACATTATGACCCATCCAAAACACGAGAATGACTTCTTCGAGGGACGCAAAAATGTTTATCAACCTTATGCTTATACTCCTATAACTGTGACTAGGAATGGACTGGGACGAGTCGGTCCGACCCGGGACCCGGCCCGGTACTGTGCAAGCCCGACCCGGTCCGATTAGCCGGTACTGGGACTGGGGTCCGAACCGGGGAAGATTGGGGCGGACTACAGGCTGATGAAATGGTGGACCCGCCCGAATGGTCCGAGATTGATCTGGGCCCATTCCCCCCCATTGATTTGCTTCTAGGTGGGTGGTTTGGGGGGGGGGGGGTTAAGGGGGTGGGGGTAGGAATAATTTCGAAAAGGCAAATTTAAGGGTGGTTTGGACCTGATTCGGTCCCGCTACAAACCCGGGCCAGTATCGGGCCTGCAATCCAATTTTTTAGCCCTGCCCAATTCCGACCCACGGCCAGGCCCGACCTGGGCCCGGTCCACCCCTAAGTGTGACTGGTCGGTGGGTTCATCTCACGTTCGACAAGTTGACATGTTAATTAGCGTGAAATAAATGTACTTGTAACAATCAGATCGAGCAAATAGTGGAAAACAAAACGCACGAAAAAAGAAATGAAAGAGATCTGAATTTTTTTTTGGATGAACTGTAAGTATATTAAAAGAACCACCCAAGAAAACAGAGGTTCAGAATGTACAAACAAAAAGGGAAACAAAACTGCAGGTTATCCAACATGGATAACCCAAACCCAGCAAAAGAGCTCAAAACAAGCAACGCCCCACACCAAAATCAAGCGTTGGTGAGGCACAAACAAGCCCAAAAAAACAGCCACAAGAAACGCCCAAACCAAACCAAGAGATGGTTAGGCACAACAAGTCACAGCTTTACAAGTTCATGTGGATAAAGACTATACAAAATCTTGTAAACAATGTATTGAATCCTCGCAAAAACGTCTTCTTCTTTGGGAACAAGGCCATCAAAGCATGTAGCATTCCGGGTTCTCCAGATCCAGTAGATGGAGTAGCAAAAAGCAATCCTAGAGGCCTTAGCTTTGATCCCCGAGCCTTGTCTCTTCCTCTTGATCCATTTCAACGAGCTCAGCATGGTCCCCATCTCCCCAGGAATATCCAACCATGTCCTGACTCTATGCCAAACTTTACCTGAAAAGGCACAAGTAAAAAATAGGTGTGGTACTGTTTCCGGACCACCCTTACAAAGGGGGCAAACATTAACAATATCTAATCTATGCAAGTTATCAATAGTGCAAGGCGGTTACGAAAGGCTAACCAAACCGTGAAGGAGAACTTAGGGGGGATATAGTTCTTCCAAATGAAAGACATCCACATTTGCGTTCCCCCCTTAACTCTAAGAAGGTTGTACACCGATCCCGGGGATAGCTTGCCATTTGTTTGGCAAGTATTAAGAAAATTAATGGCATCGTGAGTGTTGTCAAAGTGAGAGACAATTTGATCTCTAATCAGAGCAATCTTTTTTATCAGTTGGGAGTCTCTTTTGTGAGGTGTGAACTCTAATTAAACAATGATAATTATGTGGGAAATGTGACAAAATAAATACTTTTGATAGGTCAATTAACGAGTCCTATGATATAAATGTATCAAGTATAGTGGGGCTCAGGGGCGGAGCTATGCTCAATGCTATGGGGGCCATGGCCCCTCCCAACTTTTCATTTTTTAATGACTAGTATTAATTTTTTTATTTTTAACCCTCACCATGTTAATATGTTATTCTTTAGCATCCATAGCCCGGTCACCTGTGAGTAGTAAGTGTAGCAGAGAAGACAAACCAAGCTACCAAAGGCATGCGCTCAACTCTTCGTTTTTACATTTAAATTTTGATTCTTTTATAATTGAGTAAATAAGAGCTTAAGTAAATAAGCCCAAATTTGAAGGAAATAATTTATTACTATGTACTTCGTACAATTTAGGAGTGTGTATTTAAGTAATTATTAATTATTTAAGAAGTGCTAGTATATACTATATATATTGTCGTAGTTTATTTAGAGATGAAATTAAGACTTGAGTTAAGTTAACTTTCCCTGCTGAAAAAATCATTTCAGGGTTCTTTAGTGTTTATTTTAACATTTAAATATTTAATGGAATATTATACAAACTTACTTTAGGGTCTGGATATTTTCGTGACCTGCATGTGGGAGCGACGTTCTAAATTGTAATTCATATAGCGTTTAATGATGTAGTTTTGAATGTTTTAAATGAATAACAATACATTATTTAATATTATAGCACTTTTATACGTAATATGTTTACTACGGCATTTTTTATTTTACCCCGGTCCCCCTCTCGGTCGAATCCTGGCTCCGCCCCTGGTGGGGCTTAAGGCGGCTTTGATATAAATAAATAACACTAAAGGAAAAGCTAAGAACATAAATAGTACTCCGTACTATACTTCAATTTTTTCTCCATAATGTGATTAATATAGTTATATACTCCGTAGGTCATTCATTTCATTTGAGCTCAGAACAAGCACATTAATTGACCCCTAATGATACGTCGCCACTCGCCACCTCTATCCATATTAACAAATTATTGGTAGAATTAGCACTTTTAGCAGCATTTATATGATCAAATAGCTACTTATTACTCCCCCGTCCCATTTATATTGTCCAGTTTTACCTTTTTGGGAAGTCCCACTTAAATTGTCTCATACCATATTTGGCAAATTTTGTGTGGCTCTAAATCATTCTTACTTTATTTTTACTTTATCAATTAATATCAACCACACAAACCCACTTTTCTTAATAACCGTGTCACACTCTTCCGGGACAATATAAATGGGACGGAGGTAGTAGTAGTGTAGTTAATTGACACGTTTTAGTATAGTATGAATAAAGTTTGATTGTATATAGTTTATACATGCACATTCCAAAATCTAAATTTTCCTAAATTGTATTACGAATAAATTTTCCGAAATACGGGAAAGTTCCCGAAATAGGACTAAAACAGTTTGAAAATTCTCAAATAGGACTGTCATGTTTTTTATTCCCAAAATAGGAGTAATTACTGCCAAGTTTGGAAAATACTGTCATGTTTGAAGTCTGGTACTGTCAAAACATGACAGTAATTTGTCCTGTTTTGGAAATAAAAACATGTCAGTCCTATTTTTGAATTTCCAAACCTTTTTAGTCCTATTTTGGGTAAATTCTCTTCGGAATATTACCTACTCCGTATGTTTTGAAAATTGAGCTGCCAGTGGTGGTGGGTTATTGGTGGTGGGTTATTGGTTGTTTACGAGAGCATATAGAATCAGGCTGCCCTGCTATTTACGAGAACATATACATGATTAGAAATAACTACCTCCTATATAATAGCTTGGTAGTTGTTATGACTATTTTTTTTTTTTGAAAAAGTTGTTATGACTAATTAGAATATATACTTACATGTTACCTAAGTTTTAATAGAATGAACTTGATAGTTATTAGAAAAATGTGTGGTGTACACAAAATGTGTACACCTAGCAAAACTCTAGTTATTATGAATAAATTTGATTATATCTACATATGTATATTCGAAAAATCCCAAATAAAACGTATAAGTTTCAAAAAGTGCCAATTTTATTCATAAATTGACACACATACACACACAGAACTCTCCATGCTTGACCAGAACTCGTCGTGCCCTCTCTTCCATTTCAGATGGTTTTGGGTAAATTTTTTATAAAATTTTGTGTGCATGTTCTATATTTTCCTTATGGAGTGTAGATTATGTCACAAAATTTCATCTCAAAATTCAATTGAGAAGTCAGTTAAATAAATTATTAAAAAACACTGCACAGATAAAGTGAAATTTATATATCCGTGCAATGTTTTTCAATAATTTATTTAATTGACTTCCCGATTGAATTTTGAGCTGAAATTTTGTGGACAAATCTACACTTCATGATGAAAATGCTCACAAAATTTTATCAAAATGTA